AACCCATCGCTCACTGCCACCCGCAAAGGCGGCGGTTCGATCCCCGTCAAGGCGCATTTCAGAAGGCAGATCGTAACTTGTGTATCCGAACGGAGGACGCGTTGACATGAAACGACCACGGCGATCGAGAGGTTCTACAGCAGCCTGTGCCGATTCCGTAGGATCACTCCGCGATCCGCTTTCTTCCCACGCGCAAGGGTGCTCGGCACGGAATTGGCCAGACGTCAAAGGCGGGGACACCCTCCAGGGGGGGGGGGGGGGGTGAAAACCCAAGTCACCCGTAACTCAATTATCTCAGCCAATTATGTGAATAGCGAGGAAGCCACGTGCACCGCAGGACCGACCTTCACCAATCTCTCTTTTATTGCGATTCCAAGCGGCCGCGCTTGGTGCGGCCAAAACGATCGCGGGGCGGGGGGGGGGGGGCGGGGGGGGGGGCGGGGGGGGGGCGGGATTCCGCACTCGAAGCGCGCGCGGCACGGTAGCGGCGGAGCGCCGATGTGGATGTCATCCGGAAAAACAACAACACCAACAACAACAACGACGGTCGCGACTCGGCGCGTGTAAGGAAAGCGAATCGTAAGCGACGATCGCGACTGTAACGCCGCGATGGGAAACAACTCAGAGGCTCGCGGGGAGGAAGCACAGCCAAAGCGGAAAAGGCAGCCAAATTCTAACCCCCCCCCGCCCCCCAGCCAACCCCAAGCCCACCCCCCACACACACTCACTCCCCCCCAGCTCTGTGGTCCTCTCTATATTAAGGCGTTCTCGGCCTATCGATTCACGTGTATACTCCGAATGTATAACGACATACAATTCCAACTCCCAACGCTCGCGCAGCCTGTTGAGTCTCGTAGCGAGGGAACGGCTCGGAGCCGCGAGGAACCGCGGGCAAGCGAAGAAGACGCCGACCACTGCCCAAGGCTCTGCGGTCCTCGTGCGCGCCGAGTTATCGGCCAATTGATGAGTGAGGACATGCGGGAGGTGACTGGGGCACCTGGATAAAACCCCACGCACGTGAGGGAGTAACACTCTATCCCACATAGGTATGGAACAGGTGGAGTCCACATTTTACATCGGCACCTTCTCCTGGCGAGACGGGGCATGGCGCCTCCTCAACGCCCACGGGAAGGGAGTTTCACAACAGCGGTGTGATCCACCAACCCCCGCCTCCAGTGCTGGATTACAAGATGTGCGCTGGCTGTTAACGCGATTACTGCGGCGAGTTATTTCCTTGACTGCCGCGTTATAGGCTCTCACGAAATAAACCGGTCGTCAAACAGTGATTGCGTGAAGGAAATCCTCTGTGCATACCTACAATGTCAAAAAAAAAATGAAGAGACTGCAAGAATAACGTTGGACTGCTCTCCAACTGAGAGTGGCAGTGCGTTTTTTTGTCGCCAGACACCAAATAGGCTGCCATTAAAGGAACTTGCCTTCGCTGTGCCCGAAGACTGACCACGTGAAACGTTTCACCGGTGACCGAAGCACGCGAGTTCGACTCGTGAGTGGCGAGTAATACACGAAGCGTTCCTCGACAGCCCCGTTTGCAACCAACCCCCACCACCGATGACCACGCGGACAACTTAGATTTTTGTTTGTCCGTGTCAGGCGGGGGAGGGTGCACAACCACCGTTTGATGTCCTTCAAACGCACACCTCCGATTAGCACGGTTGGCGATGTACGGTGCGACGGAAGTTCAACGTACGTACGTGCGCACCATTTGCCTCGACCCCCTGGAAACTTGACGTACGAATCGCGGTGTTTGTTGGCGGATAAACCGACGCGTTAAGACGGACAGGGTTATACCGCGTGCGGAAAGTGCGGCGTGTGTGTGTGTGTGTGTTGCAGGCACAGTGCGAACGACACGGAGCTCGATGAATAACAAACCAACATTGCGCACCCCAGACACACAAACACCCCACTTGCTCCTCTCGGAAATGCATTTCGCGAAGCGTTATTGCGATTTGCTGGAAACCCCTTGTTAAATAAACCATGGCAATGGCATTGCAGCTCAGAAGCCCCCCCCCCCCCCTCCACGGGGGCGTCCTCTGTCCGCAGAGAATTGTTTCGTCCCATTCGGAGAGACCGACCGCTGCCTCACAACGATTGCTCGTCGTTACCTTCGGCCGGATTCTGCAATTGTTGCACGCTTGACGCCCGAGCTTCAGGGGCCACTCTTATTATTATTATACCTCTCTCCTTTTTCCACTGCGCACCCAGAGCCGCGTCGGAGCTGCGCCCCATGCCAACTCGGCGGCGGCGGCGGCGGCTCAGGAGGCACCAGGTTGTTTATTTTCCACTGTGAAAGCCGAGCCGAGCCGTGCCGCCGACTTCACGCGAAATGGACGACGGGTTGAGACGCGAGCAGACGACACACAAAGGTCCGCCCTGTCGTCCCGACGAACGAGTCATTCATAAGCCCTGCTCCTGGCCCAGATGTCTTTGGAGGCCAGCGTATCACGGGTTCGTTCTGGCTCGGCACGGTACTAAAGCCACCGCGCTGGCACAGCTGGAATGCGCCAGCGGAGGAGACGTATCTGCAATCCAACACAATCCGCCTTTAGGCCTTCCTCTTGGTCACCGACCTCTGGGGGCCCACTCCGATGACCGTCTCGGTCGCCTGCCCTCCTCCATCGCTGCCCGCTATCTATCGACTTCAGTGTCGCACTCCACGAGAGGTGAATTACTTTGCCTCACCGATAATAGAGGTCGTATTTTTGTCGGTTGCGTATCGTGACATTTTCAGCGGCTTCCTACATTGGTTTGACTCTCTAGGCCATGCTTTGGGGCGGCCAAATTCAAGTATCACAATTTAAAACATTCTCTGGTTGTTAGCATAAACTCTGCTATATTTGTGCCAAAATGTCGCTCTCTCGCCCTTCCAGATCACAGTCCTAGTTTCCACCGGTTACTGGCTTAGTCACAATCGTCTGCATGCGTCCGATAAGGGCGGACTGAGAGCAAGTGTCGTTCTCCTGATGGAACATGTATTTTTTTTAACCATTGCCATGTTTATCGTTCAAGTAAAAATACGAAAGCCAAATATAAACACGCACAAAAAACAAAGCTTACCGTACAACATGCCACGAAATAATGTACACATCAATAATAGAATTATTATGAAAGTTCAAATAGAGATTATACCAATTATTCACAGAAATTCAGGATAATATTGCATTCAACAAACATCTTCCCCTCTTTTTATGTAATCATCTGCGACTTCCATTCAGTCCAAAATTTCAAAGTGTAAAAAAAAAAGTACGTCAGACTCAAATGGAACAGTGACGAAGAAATAATGATATAAAATACTGACTGAATTGAGTTTTTAACAATGAGGTTTATCACCTCTTTGGAATATCCAGATGGATATTGAATGACATTTTATGAGAACTTACCTGGCCACGTAATGAACGTTTCCATTACGTGGCCAAAATTCCTGACCAAGGTTCACGTTCTCATTCCCAGATTGCTATTCCCAACCATTCATTCACATCATCTCTCGTTGCAAAACGTTAATTCCCTTTCCCAGTCATTAATTCATCCAGTCAATACCTTCATTCTCCAAAAAACTCATTTGCTGATCCACAACTTTCATTCCTATCCATTCACAACCAATCTGTCATTCCCAACTTTTCATCGCATTCATCCCGGACGTCTCACTTTCATATCCATTCATTGATCTCCCCAATCTCTCAATATCCCGGTGTCGCCCATTCCTTAATTCCCAACCCGTGGGACTCCAAGGCGGCCCTCTCAAGCTGAACGCTGCTGGCCCAGAGGACTTTCAATGGCTCAAGACAAATGTGGCTCTGTGCTTTAGTATGTTGGACCATATATTATTTGTTTCGTCCAAAGGTATTTCCTATATATTTCCCAATCTCCCATCGCAAACCCCTATTCAATCTTCTCCATGTCGTCTTAACACGTCGGCTTTCGCGACCAATATTTTCCATAAGATATTTTTTTGGGTGAGATTGCGTAAATATAAATGTGTGAACTAATTGGCTGTGCTGGGTCGTGGCGGTTTTAATGACAAATCTCATATTTACGCGATCTAACGCAAAAAAAAACCCATTTATGGTCATGTAATCTTTCCAAACCATTCATTAAAATCAATGTGTTCCAAATACCTCGATCCAAATATCCACTAACCTTCATTCCCTACCATTTTCTTCCAACGAGTGTGAATTTAGTCACGTTCTTTTCTTATTTGAGTCATAGTCTGAGGTTCTCTAATAACGTTACTAAATTATCTTAATCTGCATCTTCATTTAGACGAGTTAATGTCGCCTGGACACAGTCAGTCATGCCTACGTATGTTGTGGGCAATGGTAGTCATAGCCATGCTTGAATACTTTATGCCGGTCATAGTCAAGTCACGTAGAATGGGAATAAAATAATAAATAATAAAACTATAAAATTTCTCACGACATTTCGGCCACAACACAAGTGGCCTTCTTCAGGTGCAGACAGGTCAAGCTCTGTCTTCCGGACAGACCTGTCTCTTCACCTGAAGAAGGCCACTTGTGTTGTGGCCGAAACGTCGTGAGAAATTTTATAGTTTTATTTTTTATTATTTTATTCCCATTCTACGTGACTTTACCGAAAGAACCAAGAAGATGAATCCTTGCAGTCAAGAAAGCTTTAAATCGATATCTATATATATTTTTTAACAATGATGAATATTTTCACCCATGATCACGTAAAAAAGAAATATCACTGCTTCCAACCTCTCTATTCCTCATCCACTGACCTCTTCTGCTTGGCGATTCCCCATCCACTTATCGTGATCATTGACTAAAATAAAAAAATATATGTAATAATAAAAACACACCCAATACATTTTCATCGCCAATTCCGTTCACATAACAGCACTGCTGTTAACCCCTCCCGGCAATCACGACCTCCGACCTCTCCCGCATGCTCCCGACCCTGACCCACAACACCGGTCCCTCCCATCCGCCGCCTCTCGAGGGCCCGCCAGCCCCCCCCCCCCCCCCCCCACCCGCTCATCAGAACTTCGTATCCACGTCCTCGTAGATCTTCTCTCCGGCCGGAGCGGACGGCGCTTTGCTGTTCACAATGCGCTCGTACTCAGCCTTCCCTCCCTTATAGCGGCCGTCGCGGCGGTGGCTGACCAGGGGCCGCAGGCCAAGGTAGCTGTAGACGAGCGGCACCAGGAAGACGAGGTAGGCGATGTGGAGGCCTGAGTCGCGCAGCAGCATCTCGTTGCAGTGCGGAGGGGCCTTGGCACACACACCCGGAAACTCGTTTCCTGTCAGATAATTCACGTCTTTCTGCGTGTCCAGGTACCTGCAATTTGCTCCGTTGATTATTAATTTGTCTTGCGCCAGCCTCTTCAGGTACATTGTGTTGCAGTCGCACGTTAAATTCATCTCGATGGTTAGCTCCTTGAGACTGCCTAACAGTCTGTCGAGAGAGCCCACGGGGACGTTGGTTAGGCTGCTGTTGCGCAGAGTCAGGTGCGTGACAGTTTCGGGCAGCTCTGAGAGGTATGAGAACTCTGTGCAGGTGGCAGTGTTGTCTTTTGGTCCAAATGTGCAGCCAGTTGGTAGGGCACCGACTGCCGTCGCGCAGCAAACGAGCAGTGCCAGGGCGAGCGACGGCTTCACCGACGCCATCGCGGCAAGACAAAGCGGTCGTCTGAAGGGTACAAGAGAAGAGAAAGGTCACAATTATGGGCTACGGATGGCCTGAAATGAAACTAAAACAAGGACACGCCCGGGTCTCGAGCCTCGTCAGGAGTTGCGCTTTCCTTTCGTTGCGTCGCCGGCAACTGAAAAATCAAACGAACGTTGTCATGGAGCGGTGTTTCTTCACTCACTTTTTAGAACGGGGTGGGGGGTACTTTCGCCGATAGGACATCAGTGTGAGGGCAGCCACACATTTGAAACCATTGGGGTTTGACAGCAGCACGATGATGGGGGGTGTTGTTGTCACGTGTTGTGTATTGTCCATCTTGGCCTTTAGTGCGTCAGGAGCTGCACTAAAGGCCGAGATGGGCCACCAGTGGCAAGTGGGCCTCTTGCAGTGAAGAACACCATCACAGAGTATATGGCTAAAAACGTTGTTTTATAACAGAGATAAGAGTGAAAATAAATGCACATTGAGTTCACGCAGTTACATTTGACGGGGTTGTCAGGCGCATTTTATCTCGTAAACAAAGCAGATTAATGGCGGCTGCCTGGCGATGCTGGTTGCAACTACTGCACTTGCGGGGCATCCGTAACCAACTGTGATGGCTCTCCAACAACACCGGCTGGCCCTGCAGCTGATGCCGTAATAAGTTGGCCACGTTTGTACATCGCGTGACGGCTTCGTTCATTGGCCGCGTCGGATGGCGGAGGGGTTCACGACACGCGTATTACATACGTGGCGATGTGACCCAAAAAAAACAATATCACGAATCATAAATACAGCCCATCGCGTAAAGTGATATACATTAACAAAACAATCTGGGGGAAAGACAACAAAACGTTGTGATGAACGGTGGGACGGTGGCAGAGTGTGGATATAAACAGTGAAGTCTAGGAACGACAGAGGAGAAGGAGCAATCACCCATTGACTGGTCGTGTCAACAGGGGGTCTTCATATATATCATTAAATATACATAAAGAAAACTATGTAAAACTAAGCTTTGTTTGTATTTTTCGATTTAAAGCTTTCGTGACTGCAAGGATTCATCTTCTTTGGTTCTTTCGGTAAAGTCACGTAGAATGAGAATAAAATAATAAATTGATAAAATAAAATAAGACAATAAAATTCTCACGACGTTTCGGCCACAACACAAGCGGCCTTCATCAGGTGAAGGGACGAGACTGTCTGGAGGACTTCAAATGCACGTTGATTCGCTCCAGCGCTGTCCTCCAGACAGTATCGTCCCTTTACCTGATGAAGGCCGCTTGTGTTGTGGCCGAAACGTCGTGAGATTTTTATTGTGTTATTTTATTTTATCAATTTATTATTTTATTCTCATTCTACGTGACTTTACCGAAAGAACCAAAGAAGATTTGTTTGTATTTACCATGTAAAGCCCACTGAGCTACACAGCTCTTTTCAGAAGCGACATGGCTATCACGAATTATAGCTCAACGAAGTGGCTTGTCACGTGGATATTTATAGCAGCTAAATACTCCAAATGCACGTTGATTCTAAATGTGGAGGCAAAAACCGGAGGACCCGCAGAAAAATCCACACAACCACGTGTAGAACATGCAACATCCAAATATACAGCAGCAGCAGGCGTCAGGGTCGCGATCGAACCCACGACCTCCTGTATACCAGGCGAGGTAGTTAACATCTCCTAGCCACCGTGGCACACATACAGGGTGCATAAAAAAATCTGTGAACACCTCTTGAGAATTTGCAACAACACCGCAAGAAATGTGCCCCTCCGGGCTCTGGAGACCACCTGGAGAAGATTCCAGGCCACGTGTTGACAACGATGGCGCACAAGTGGGAGACTCTTTGACTTTTTGAAGCTATTAACATTACATTTGTGATCGCGTCGCAGTGTATTATCCGTTCTTTTTCGATTAAAAACGAAAGCCCTATACAAGTGTTAACATTTGTTTTGAAGTACCCTGTACAGATGGTGTGTATATATGTGATAGCTTCGCTGAATGAAGACGGAACGCTCGCAGGTGGGATGGGGTGGGGGGAGGGCCTGGATACGTTTCTGGATTCGGCGCGGCAACAGCTGAGCAACCCCGGGGCCCGGTGGCATGGCGAGCGGGATCTTTTTTTTATCGGGGCAGCTTTACTTACTTCGCGCGCGGCGTACAAGTGGACAGGGTGGTCCGGATGTCTTGTGACCCCGCCCCCCCACCACCGTTTAATTCTCTGAAGCGTGTTTTTTGTGTTGTTGCAAACCGATGGGTGTGCAAACGTAAATGCACGTGTGCTGAACTTCGTTCGCACAGTACGTGGCCAACCGTGCGAATGAGAGGCGCGTAATTAGCAAAGGAAACAAATGTTAGCGGTCCTGATGTCTTGTGACACCCATTTATCTCTCTAAAACTTAAGATTTTTTTAATACCAGCGGGACGTGAAAACAGAAATGAATAAGCTAAGGGGGGGGGGGGTGGGAACATGGTAGGGGGCAATTAATTGGGGGAAGGGGGGGGTCACAAGACATCTGGACCACCCTGTACACGTGTACAGCTACTCTCGTCAGTCCACTGGGAGATGAGGGGCGCCACGAGCCATGCGGGAGTTGCTTGAGAAGGTGTAAAGTATAAACAGGAAAGGTCCACAACCATCATCATAAAGGATCTATCCACTGCTGGATGAAGACCTCCACAAGCCGTCACCATGCCACGTTGTCACGTGATGCAACAATCCATCTCGCCCCCTGCTTTTTTTATTTACTATTAAAATGTTTTTTTTTATTTTACCAGGCAAGACCCACTAAGCTACGTAGCTCGTTTTCAGAAGCGACTTGGCCACAAACGAAGTGGCTTATTATCACGTGGACATTTACAGCAGCCAAATACTCTAAAACGCACGTTGAGTCTAATGCGGAGGGAAAACCTGCAGAAAAAACCACGAGACCACGGGGAGAGAGAGACGCAAACTCCAAATATACAGCAGCAGGCGTCAGGGTCTGGAACGAACCTACGACCTCCTGTATACCGGGCGAGGTAGTTAAGATATCCTAGCCACCATGATGATGACGAGAGAGACACGCAAACTCCAAATATACAGCAGCAGGCGTCAGGGTCTGGATCGAACCCACAACCTCCTGTATACCGGGCGAGGTAGTTAACTTCTCCTAGCCACCATGATGATGATGAGAGACACGCAAACTCCAAATATACAGCAGCAGGCGTCAGGGTCTGGATCGAACCCACAAACTCCTGTATACCGGGCGAGGTAGTTAACATATCCTAGCCACCATGATGATGATGAGAGAGACACGCAAACTCCAAATATACAGCAGCAGGCGTCAGGGTCAGGATCGAATCCACTAATTCCTCTATACCGGGCGAGGTAGTTAACATCTCCTAGCCACCATGATGATGATGAGAGAGACACGCAAACTCCAAATATACAGCAGCAGGCGTCAGGGTCTGGATCGAATCCACTAATTCCTCTATACCGGGCGAGGTAGTTAACATCTCCTAGCCACCATGATGATGATGAGAGAGACACGGAAACTCCAAATATACAGCAGCAGGCGTCAGGGTCTGGATCGAATCCACGAATTCCTGTATACCGGGCGAGGTAGTTAACATCTCCTAGCCACCATGATGATGATGATGAGAGAGACACGAAAACTACAAATATACAGCAGCAGGCGTCAGAGTCTGGATCGAACGCACGACCTCCTGTATACAGGGCGAGGTAGTTAACATCTCCTAGCCACCGCGGCGCTCTGCACACCATCACGTCCCCGTTGTGCTCTTCGACGAGGGAATATTTCCCCACTTTAACTGCCATTCCGTCATTAGCCTCTACCAGCAGCCATCATCCCTTCCGACAATGCGTCTTGTCCAAGGCCACTTGACTGTTCTTAACATCAATACGATGTTACTAGGGGCCAGTAGCTACGGAAAATGCCATCATTGGTGACGATCACCCATTGTGCATTCAGCCTTTGGAGGTGGGGGGATTGGTGGATCATGCAGAGACTCCCAGCTGCTGAGCGGCGAGGCTCCCAGCAGACAGCAGCACAGCAAGTAGGCCATCGACCTGTGTGTGGGTATTCTTGGGCATTGCTCTATCGTACGTGTGCGGTTCTCTCCATCCAGCAAGGATTAACTTCCTCAATTAGTGTCGGCTCAAACAAAGCAACCTGGTGAAACTTTCTAAGCAGGACCCTCCTGAGAGCGAATAATGAAAATTGGTCACGTTTTCTCGGGGTAAACAAAGGACAATGTAGTTCCTAAGATGCAGTTCATTCTTTTTTTTCCCCCGAGTCGTTTGGGCAGAGTATATTCCACAAAGACGCAACGTGCATTTGGCGTCTCAATTTGTCCCACCCATAATCACCTTCTCGGGCCCGATCTCATCCCCAATGCTTTGCTCGTCACGTTCTCTGCAAAACCTCCCAAGTTGCTTAACCTAACACCACCGCTCTGAAGTGTCGTAGCTTCCTCCGCGCCGCGCGTAAACTTCGCGACGCCATCGGCCAAAACGATGCCCGGCGTTCATTGAAGTGACATTTCCCGCTTAGTTCGCACCGATTCACATCGCAAACTAATGTAGACATTTCACTTCGGTAATTGTCATAGAGCCGACTACAGACGCAAACCGGTGCAATAACTGGGGGGGGCAGGGGTGGGGGCAAGCTCATGGGCGGACGTGAATACCGATGCAACGTAAATCCTCGTCGTGGATTTCTGAAACAAATTTTGACGTCCGCGCGATAGAAGGAGCGCCGTTTAAAAAAAATGTTTTATATATATCGAGAGCGTCGGCGCCTTTGGAACGCACGTCTCGTTTAACGGTCGCGTCCCTCATCCGGACCGCAAGCAAATGAAAGAATGGTGGAGTTGCAAGACGTCGCAATAGCTCAAACGACGCGGTTATTTACGCGGCGGCTCTCAAAATATTCACAACGGCCGCGTCCGCGCGCTAACTCAATCGGAGCCCTTGGAGGGAAAAAAGAGAGAGCCGAGAGCCCGTCCTCTTAAAAAAAATGATAAAATTGCTGTTTGTGGTGCGGAGCCGTTGTTCAGGGTTGTCCGGTTGTGACATTTAATTTAGACGCTGACGAAAGACGGAGAGAGAACGGGGGGGGGGGGGGGGGGGGGGGATGGGGGGGGGGTGCATAAAAAAGAGAAAAGAAGAAGACACGCTAAATAATTCTAACCGCGGGCCTTAGCGCGGTGCAGGTTCACCGATAATGCAGCACAACGAAAGTGTCAAGCGCGATAAGGCGGCGAGTCGGTATTAGTTTGCACGCTACGTGGATTTCAATGCGGATATCTAATGAGATTTCTGGGAGCTTTCCCGGTGTCTGTGTGTCCCCCCCCCCCCCCTCCCCCGTTGCAGCACAGGCTGAGAACACCTTCACCAGCATTGCCATTGATAATGAACGCCGCCTCGTAATTGACACATAAATATTAAACTAAGAGTTGCGGGCGTAAGGACCCCCTTCTTTTTTTCTCACATCGCAAAGGATGAGAAATTGCGCACACGTAATGGGCTAACGCGTTCGGCAAACACCAATTCGATTGTTACTTTGATGTTCGCTTTTTTTTCCACTTTCATAAATATCTCTCTCTTTCTTTTCGCGGGGAAGTCAGCAAGTGCTCGTTTTAAGTAGACGCGTTCCTACCAGTGGAATGTGGAATTTCCACCACTGGCCCAAGCCCATAAACAATGATGAGTGCCGCCCCCAATGCTCATTTGGGCAGGGAAACAAGTAGTGTTGGTTAAACGTAACCGACAATAAAATAATCATTTAAAAAAACTAACTGACAAATGTTGGTCCAGTACCTCGCGTCGATCAGTGGAAAAGTGGTCACATACTACTCCCCAAAAGATTATTTGGCCGTACCACGTTTCGTTCGGCAAAGGTATCAGACGTTTCGCTCCACGTGCTGGGACCTACTTCAGGAACTGAATTTAGCAGCTCACTTTGTCAACTCGGTTATGCATAGCACTGAAACGTCGGACATTACGCTGTCGGACATGAGGCACAACCCGGAATCCCATCGGATAGCCTGTAGAGCACGGCCCAGAATAACCTATGCATTAGTATTCATAATGCCAGCTAAAAATAAATACATATGGATTTTCAAAACGTCACGGTGTAAAACATAGTAAAGTAAATATATCTCGTGCTTTTCTGCATTCTATCTCTGGCTCTGAAGACTAGTCGAGCCGGCACTCCAACATTTAACCGAATGGAGGAGCACCCCTTTTGTCTGTGCCCTTATCATCCACATGTCTTGTTACACGCAGCTGAAATGTATCAGTGGAAACTCCTGTAATCTTAGAGATGTTAACTACCTCGCCTGGTATACAGGAGTTCGTGGGTTCGATCCCGACCCTGCCGCCTGCTGTATATTTGGAGTTTGCACGTTTCTCTCTGGTTGTGTGGATTTTTCTCCGGGTCCTCCGGTTTTTTCCCTCCATATTTAGAAACATGCGTTTGGAGTATTTGGCTGCTACTATAACTTTCGTTGAGCTATCGTTTGTGGCCAGATCGCTTCTGAAAAAGAGATACATCGCTCAGTGGGTCTTTCCTGGTAAAAAATTTTTTCAATGTTTTTATAGTTTAATTTAAGACACGTCCCTATTATCCGCAGCTATTTAACGCACACGCAGACTCACATCTATTATCCGCATTTATCCATGTGCAGTTTCGTGTGGAAGAGAGTTTTTTTTACAGATAGTCACGGATAATAGGATCCGTAAATGGCACCTCCAACATCATTGCGGATACTGGGAGTATGTTTTGTTCTGTTAAGGGGGAGGGCAGTGTACGTTGCAGTGGCGTTATATTTTCAAATGGCATAAGAAAGCAGAAAGCCAACAACTAGCCTTCCGTGTTCATAAATATATATATCTACATGTATTTTGTGAACTTTCAACTATTTATCCTTTCAGTACACATGTTTGTCCAACCTATATTCACTGATAAATGTGCACTATATTTATAGATTGAATCACACACAAACACAACTTTGCCAATTATGTTGTAAATATGTCGCATTTGTGTGCAGTACACGTCATGGATGTGTACACATTTTAACATAAAAAACATTTTTAATCAACACAAATTCTAGTTATATCTTACAAGACACACTCTTTGCTTTTGCTACAACTTCAAAGTACTTTGAATACATTTCTTTTTTTTAACGAACGCTTATTACGTGTTAAAGCAGCTACTCAACACACTGTAAATTAAGAATAAAAAACACACTACACAAGCAAAATCGAACCACACAACAACAACCACAAAAACATTCTTACCTGAAACCTTAACAAAATTCCTCCTTTAAAAAACGAGGGAACTCATTTAAAAGCCTCCTCGCTACAAAATCCGGCCCCACCGATCCATTCAGGGCGATCAAACGAACAAAAAAAACGAAACTCAAAACGTCGACGTTCGTTTGGCGAGCATAGAGCAACAAATAAACGTCCCCGCACTCCCGTCCCCTCCTGTCGCTCACTCGCACCCTCGTCCTCAGCAATGTTTGGCGGTTGTGCGACTTTTTACCCACAGCCGATAGCAGTCGCCATCCACCCACCCCCCTGCACAACCCCGCCACCCATTATGGTCCCTTTTTCTTATCTGGGCTCGGCGTATGTTCAGGGGGGCCGTGCTTACCCAATGCTCGCCAGAGTCCGCTGCGGCTGCTGGTGTTTGACGATATTGGTGGCGGTGTTAAAGGAAGGGAGGAGAATAAGTGGTGGTGGTGGTGGGGGTATAGGGTGGTGGGTGGAGGCGGGTAGCCCCGTTCTGCCACCGTGTTCCCCCACTGTAATGGAAGGGGTGTGTGTGGTTTTGGGTGGCTGTGTTGGCACCCAAATTGTGGTTTCGGTGACCGTGGCGGCAATGAGCCGGGGCTGTTGCGTTGGGAACCTCTGAGCAAACAAATTTTCTGGTCAAATTAAGCTTGCGGGAATTTTGTTGCGATGGTAATTTATTTGCCAGGGTTCGTTTCTTTAAAAATTGTTTAAAGTACTCTACTGTATAGATTGTTCAACTCTAAAAGAATGCAGACGGACATGTGTGGTGAAAGTTTAACACATAGGCTTTCGCAAACAATGTTATCCACAATAAAAAAAAATTGTGGGGCGAGGGAGCTTAGATTGTGGAAATATAAATGCGTCGTTAAACCCGCCACCACCCGACACAGCCAATTAGTAAGGTTTGTGACGTAAACAAAAGGTGCCCATTAGTTACTAGTTCGGCACACCGGTGTGTTGAAATGTTGTGGGTTTACTCTCCTACACACCGGTGTGCTGAAGGAGTAACTCATTGATACGTTTTGTTTACGTGAAAAAACTTACTAATTGGCTGTGTCGGGTGGTGGCGTTTCACGACACATTTATATTTACACGATTTAACCCACAAATATACATTAATTTGTGACAAAAGTTGGTGATTTTAGTTTGCAGTTATGGTCTGGTAAAATGAGGGATCTTGATTTGAAGCTTTCGTGACTGCAGGAATACATACTCTTTGATATTTTGGTAAAGTCATCACGTAGGTAGAAAACATACTAGATCACGACATTTTGATCGCAACACAAGCAATCGTCAACTGCTGAAGTAGTTTTTTTCTTGCTGTGGTTGTCCCATCTGATGACGATTGCTTGTGATTTGTGATCTATTATTTTGTGACTTTACCGAAATAACCAAAGAGTATAAAATGAGGGATGTTTAACCTGGGCGAGACTAGCAAGTTGTGACGGTAATTTTGCCAGGATTAATTCCTTAAAAAGTTATAGATTTGTTCAACTCTTAAGAAATGCAGACTTAAATTCGCGACTTCAATTGGTGTTTTTAAAAAAATATATACACTAATTTTGTACATATTATACACAGTTAAATCGCAACTGGTTGCAACTGGTTGCAACTGGTTGCCTGACATTGACTCCCAAGGTCTCGGCAGCTCACTCACAGCCAATGTGTTCCCTTACATTTTTTTCACTGTTAAATTGCACACTGTTAGTCCATACAATTTCGTTGCATCAGCTAATTTACAACATCAAAACATGCCAACATGACTGGCCTTTTGTTAAGATAATTAATGAGTATGGCACCAAAAAATATTATTTCCTCTTTTTTTCTTTCAGTGCCATCGTTGATGCCATGAACATGTTTTGTCAGATATAATTTAATTTTGCCAACCGCATCAGATAGATTCAACTGCAAACCTTTTTTTTTTATTAAGGGGATTAATGTCGGGGTCGTTCCCTTTTGTGAAACATGAGGCTCAACCGACTGCGATGTAGAAGGAACATTTGTTCGGCCTTGTAACAAATTAAAGTGGCCATCGTGACTAATGCTAAAACACCTCACCAATGCTTCTCTCTTCTTTGTAAAATCGACATTCGACCTTCAAGAAGCCCTTCTGCAGCCTCCTACAATCAGACTTGGTATTACGTACGCACCTACAGTTCCACGGCTTATACCAACTCTGTTATGCACAGTGGTTATCTGCCTGAGCACTTTCCAGGCTCAAACCGGCTTAGCTTATGGGATCCAGAGAGATTGGGTAAATTCCGGGTAGTTTTATCAGAGGAAATGGGGTTATACTGGTGATAAAATCTGAGAAAGAAAAAAAAAACTCCGGCGAAAGAAATCAGTAAAAAAAAATTTAAAAGTAACACGTGAAGAGACTAGCAACGGCAGCAGTGCACATGCACAAACCATGGCATACACCACCGGTATCATTAACATCCGCTCATGATCAGAAATCTGTTTTACATAGCATATCCTCCGAATTATGAGACGCTCCGGAAAGTAAAATGCAGTACAAATTTTGGGGTCATTTTGAAAACAAGCGTATTGTAAACGGTAACTGGTTAGTATGGAGATTCCTTAAAGAGGAGATGATTGTGAACGCGTCGTTTTAAAATGGGGAGAAACGCCCACTGCAGGATTGTTGCGAACAAATAGATTAAAGCACGTCACGTTGAAGACAATGTATTATTGCCGGAGAGCCATCTTTTAGGAAGATGATTACGGAGCGAGCTCTTTCAAAAAGCGGAGACATGTCTTGTAGCAGAAGATGATCCGGAGAGCTGCTGATTTTCTTCTGCCCTCTGGGTGGTCATCGATCACTGTGGAGAATATGGGAACACGTCTTCCGCAAGGCAATGCAATCTGTGGAATATAAGACGTACACCCACCACCCCCAATTTTATCTTTAAAATACAGGTAAAAGAAGAGTGCGTCTTACGATCGGAAGACTTATCGTTGGCAGAGGCAGAGAGAGGTCAAAATGATACAGTGGCTTACAGTTTGGAGTCTGCAGTTTACAGCGTGATGCATTAAACGCACCGGCAAGTTTGAAAGAAGCTGTCGTGCAATCAGTTTGAATTGACGTCGATCATCTCAGCACATGTGGAGTTGCGCGGCATACAAATGACTGACTTGGCTCGTAAAAAAGCACAGGGCCGGCTTAAATTGAAAATATTTCTCTCACTTTGCGACTTGCAGAATCGCATCACAGGGGAGCTCAACAGATAACATCAATGACACATTGGCGTTTAATTCACAGAAAGTTGTTTGGCGAGATTCGTTTCGTGTTTTTAAGCCGAGACAAAAGCTCTGGCACAGCAGGTGATGGCACACTAAAAAAAAAAATCAAGAAAACTGCCCTCGAGATCATCACACATTTCAGCCACTCTTCCAGTAACCTCACGAGCCCTTTCCCTCGCTCCAGTCACCTTAACTCTCATCCACAACCACCCACGTCAAGTCACAATCACACACACACACAGCCTCTCAATAGCCATCACAGCCTGGCGTGCATGGGTGAGCACCGAGCGATGAAGTGAAAGGACGCAATAGCTCTCAGAAGCGTCTCCTCTACGCTCAAGGGAGCGTGGCACAGCACTCGTCTGCTTTGGCAGCCCCGAAGGTCAAGCCAGCAAATGGCCATTCCACATTCCTCGATTGGGGCTCGGTATCGCCGTAAAACGACTTTGTTGCAAATTGGTGGTCGCCGGCAAAAAAATATTGCGCGGGCAGAGAGCAGTAACGGTGGGTGTGGATTAAACCTGCCAAGTGTTGGATAAGCCCAAAATAACGATGGTCATTCCACATTCTTGGGTTGGAGCCCAGTATCGCTGTACGACAATCACTTGACTCGTTGCAAATTGGTGGTCGCCGGCAAAAAATAGAGCTTGGCAGAGAGAGGTAGCGGTGGGTGTGGGTTAAACCGGCAGCGTCCGTATCTGCTAAATCCCAAGAGGCGGCTGGTGTATTTTTGGCGGCTGTTTAGATTGCGATAAGACGACAGGACCAACTTTCTGAGACAGCTCGTGGGCCCCCCAGATGAATACATCCGCAGGAGCATTAAACTACAGCATCTAGCCAACACCATTTAGAGTTTGGAGGTGATCAAATGTTGGTGTCCATCGGGGCAAAAACATGGCAAAAAAATACATTTCAAATGATGCCATTTGTGATATGAGGTGGCCAAGTGGAAATACAGAATTGGATTCGTGAACCTATCTGTGTGGAGCTTTGAGTGTTGCGTCCTCGTATGCCACGGGTTTTCTCCCAAGTCCTTTAGTTTCTTCCTACATGCCAAACACTAAGTAATGGAATTTGTCCAAACATCCCAATGCATTATTCTCCTGAAAAGGATCTTGAAACTAAGTGAGAAATTCCTCGATAAATGAAGTGCATTATGATGATCATTATGTAAGAGTATCTATAAAATGTAGATTGTGTTTATAAACCGTATAAATGTGGCTGCATTTTAAGATGCTTTACAACTGTGGGGGAAACACTCCCGCCGTATATGTTTGGTCGAATTATCTGTTTGCATATTTAATTTTAAACCAATAATTTCTGGAACACTTCAAACATATTTGAAAGGTTAAAGGTGCAGCCCTGCAATTGCTTGCTTGCTCACGCCACGGCTGGAGGGATGAAGGAGGTCGAGAAGGCACCTCTAAGAGGCCATTGTGTATGCATATTGTACTTTTTGCACGTCGTACGTAGCCAACCGTGCTAATGAGAGATGCGGGGGAAATAGAACAAACTAAACACAACAAGCAGTTAGAAAGAAATTAGTTTTCAATCTAGATTTAAAACTGCGTAGCTTCCTATGTCAGAAGAGCATTCCAGATGGCCGCAGAAGCGCATCTGAAAGCGCGCGATGCGGTGGCCGTCTTTGTTTGATGATTAGCCAAAAGCCGTTGAGAATGATCACTTATTTTACACCAGGCACTAATTGATATGACAGCCAACGTGCAGATCAGCGACATCACATCGGCGAGTTAGGATAAACGCAGATCCCAAACAAACTTAACACATTTGTAAAAATAAATAAACTCTGAATTAAAAGTATATAATAGACCTTTCACGCAAATGGCCCATCTTCTGAGCACGTTCAAGGATCGATGCCCGAAACGTCGCCTAACTTTTAAGTTCACAGCGTCCTTGACGATTGTTTTTAGTTGTTTTTTTTTTGGTGCTTGAAGAGCACTGCCAACACAGTAAAAATGCCCAAATTGTTTTCATCACTTTGAAGTTAAGGAACATTGGTTAGCCTGGGCCAGAACACATCGCCAGAAGATATGATGGCTGATGAACGACAATGATAATAGTATCACAAAACAAAGACCCCCCATATAGCCTGAAAAGACTGTTGAGGCAAGTGCTGTTAGCGAGCACCTATGAAAGCTGGCACAGCACACGAGGGGGTGGGTGGCCAACACCACGTCGGGCTGCCTTTATCTTCCCAGTGGCGATGTTTACACATCACACCAGGTACTTATTTGAGGCTGAGTCGACCTAGGGGAGACCCAGGACCAGTTCAGATAATCGTCACTGGTGTTGGCCCGGAGCGGGAATCAAACTCGGGTCGCCGGGTTCGTAGCGCAGGGCGCTAACCGCCACACTGTATAACAGCCAAAGGAGGGACACGTGCCTGAGATGATGACCACTGAGTAGAGGTCGGAGCAGTGAGGTCAGCTGATGTGCAGGAGCGTTGCACCGCAGGACCGCGAGGGATGCTGACAATACGGGGAGACCTCTGTTCAACAGTGGATAGATCACGGCTGATGATCATTCATACGTTTTAATTGGAGCGCATGGTAACTTGTGCAGTATTAATACAGG